TAAAAAATCCGGCTGAGGATCCTCGGAGATTCTCGGAGATTCTCGGAGATCCTCCTGAGATCCGCTGCTCCCGGGCGTCGTTGACGCGACTTAACTTCTTCAGGAATGAATCTATTAAAGTCAGCAGAAATCGATTGGGTTTTAAAGCGACGAATATGACATCTGTCAATCATATGACAAGATTTCTCTACTTCTCGTTGGAATTTCGTAGCGAGTACGAATGAATAAATAAATATCGGTGATGAATAAATAAACACTTATTACGAACATAAGTATAAATATTTATATGTCGAATATGAATGTGAATTAATATTCATAATAATTACCTTCGATACCTTTGATGCCGACTGAATATCAACAGATAATAATACGTTATTTATTCATAATAATGCTCGCTATATCTTCGTCGACAATGTTGAAATGAAGCGGGAGCAATTGAATTACGTATCTAGACGTTCACACACGTGTGTCAGTATCCCCGAAAAGGTTCTAAGGGACCTCCTTCGCGGCTACTCTCGCACAACAGAGCGCGAACGATGGTTTCTTGCGGCCCACGTGCGGCAATCGTGCGTAAAATTTACGACATTGAAATTTCGGTCGCGGTTTATCGTTGCGGCGACGGTGGCGGAGGACGCGTCCGAATTTCTTCCCGGGGACGTACGTCAAAGCGCGGCGGCCTCTTCGACGACCGCGCTTTACGAGCGCGCCGTTTTGGCCGGGGAATAAAACCCGTGACGCGCGAGCAGTCGTTTCGCCGGCCACCGGAGGAATTATTAGCGGGCACGAGAAGGAAGAGAGGAAGAGAGAGAGTTCTTCCGTTCGTTCTCTCCCGCTAGTCCGACTCGATAAGTTATCGTGTTCGCGAGAACGTTACTTTTCAAGTCGCCTTGGAAACGGCGTGTTCTCGCACATCATCGCGCTGCGCGATAATTTGTCGACGTTGCAGTCTTAATCGTCGCGGCGACGATTTTTGATGAGCGCGCGAAATTTCGCTTATCGCTCGCAAAATTCTCCCGGCACGCTCAATAAAAATGACGCGAGCGGCACTCTCTTTTTTATTTAAGGCCGGCCGCTACCTCGCTCTCCTCTCTTTTTCCTCTAATCGAGCCTCGGGTTATTTATCTGCTCTCACGGACGCGACGAGCTGTATGAAATAGAGGCGACATTAAGGACCGGCATTCTTTAAGATCGGCGAGTCCAGTCACGCGGTATGCCTCTCTTTCTCTCTCTCTCCTCTTCTGATTTGACGCGAGTTTTTTATGCAGATAATGTCCTGAAAGCTCAAGCTGTACCGTTCCGACGTTTTGTTTTACGACGACCGCTTCGACGGCTCTCTCGTCGAATCCAAGATGGATTCTCGATGTCCGGCCTCGTCCTTATCTGGCGAAAGCCGGTGAGACCGCGTGCCGAAATTCGACAGGATTAATCGCCCGTGTCCCTGCGAAAAACAGGCCGTGGTTTAGAAAAATCGTCGATTTGTCTGAAAAATGGTCGACAACGCGAATTTGTCATCAGGAGAGACGAGAGATTCCCGTTGTCCACGCGAAAGATCATCTCGCGAATCCTTCCACCTCGCTAAAACCATCGATATATAATACTCGACGGAGTATGCTGCAAGATTTTCTTCGTAATTCGACGTAAGTCACTATTACGCACGCATCTCATATCTTTCTACGTCTGTCAACACGGTTTCGATTTCACGTCCCGTCCGGTACTGCATGTCGATGATTGTAGCGAGTGCATTTGCTTACAAAAATAATAATTCACCGTTTTTAGCTCGCGAAAACTGTTGGTTTGAGTAGTGAAAGCGTGCATTCGGCTGAGCGAGTACGGCCTCATTTTTAGGTAGGAAAGAGGCACTTTTCCCTAATAACGAGTGATTATAGCCGATTGCGTATGAATATATCCGAATGGTATAAATGTATTATTGAGTATTTTTAAGTAGTGGACACGTGCAATACTGTTTGCGAATTTGAGGTGTGTAAATACACATTCAACTGTGAATACAAAATACGCGTTTTCACGCTCGCAAACACTCACATTGCGGATTTAAAAGTGGCACGAGTAAATGCACGATTCTTTAACGCTTTTTCCTCCGTATCGAAACGAAACTGAGTGAAAGAGGAACCGTATGTGATCGGATATTTTTCTCGGTGTGTGTGAAAATGATAGAATAGGCTAAAACAGGCCGTATGAGGACTGAAAAAGGTGAGATATTTTTCCAAGGGTTTTTATTCCGCCATTCGTTCGCACGCGCGGTGACACGTAGTCTCGGTCGCACCGCAGACGCGTTTTCACGATTATTATTACGTGCGCGAGGCGGGAAATTCGCGTAAACGGTAAGCGGAACGATACGCAGCCAGGGTCGCCGCGACCGACGTCGCGAGCACTTCTATTGTTTCGCATTCGTCACGGCTATTGTATCGCGCGTGCCATATCGATCGCTACGTAGGCGCGGATCCGCGATTTTTGCGCGAACGGATCGGAACGCAAAGCTGGCGCGAGGCCAGGCCGCGTACGCGCCAAGTAGAAAAATGTCACTTCCACGTAGTCCCTCTACAGAATCGTATTGTCCGCGATCTCTGTATAATTGGACAGGAACAGGCGCCGCGAAAATTCAGAGCGAACTTTTCCGTCGCTGAGACTCGTATAAAATAATACTATAGCCTAGTTTAAAATTGTCTCCGATCGTCCCCAACTGCTTCAAACAATGATGAAATAATATCTCATCGTCCTTTTCGAGTGGAAAATGTCGTATCAATGTTGCCTCTATCTGCGACTCTGTATAACGTGAACGGAGACGATGAAAATTGAGGGGGGACCTTTCCGTCACTGAAAGTCAGGCAAATAAAATATATATCGAAGTTTATAATTAATTATCTTTAACGGTGCTTTTATGTGCGAAATCACATTTCGTTGTCTCTTTGGCGAGTGGAAAATGTCGTTTCGACCTTGCCTCTATCCGCGATTCTGTATAATTGAACAGAGACGGGTAATTAAAAATGACGGTCGCAAATTCTGTCGCTGAAAGCAGCATAAAATAATATTACGGCAAAGTTTGAAATTAATTATCTCCAGGGACGCTTTTAAACGTGAAATAACATTTCCTTGTCTTTTTAACAAATGGAAAATGTCGTTTAGATGTCTCTATCCGCGACTCTATATAATTAAACAGAGACGGGCGACAAAAATTGAGGGAGGATCTTTCCTTCCTTGACTGTACGTAACACAAAGCACGTAGAATAATACCAATGAAAAATTTCAAATTAATTATCGTGGAAAGTGCCTTTTCATGCACTAAAATAACGTTTCATTGTCGGTTTGACGATCCGGTGACTCGTATCGTAGCGGCAGCGAGATCCGTGCGTTCGCTTCTCGTTCGGCCGATTTAATAATAACAGACAGAATTGATTGTCATCCGCATGTTAATATTCGTACGCGCGATGTGTCGAGATAACGCGGCGCGGCCGTTCGCGATGCAATATCGCGACGTTGAATCGTTAATGGATAATTAATAACGTACGGGTCGACACGAGCGGAACGCCACCGCGAACATTACGTCGCGTTCAATCCGGCCGGAGAAACGTATCGGCCGTGCGTTAATCCCTCGGTGGGCGCGTTAACGCGCTACTTTGCGACCGAGAATTATTAGAGGGTGGTAATGTTGACCTAATATGAGAATTACGATGGCAGTGCACCGACGAAAGCGGCTCCATAAGTTACAATCAGGCGGCCGCGCGATCCACGGGGGCTCCCCCTCTCTCTCTTTCTCTCTCGCGCGCGTACTCTTTCTCTCTCTGCGAAGTACGTCGCTTAAATTATATCTCAAACGCCTCGCGGATTTCTCATCCTCGCCACGGGATCTCCTAATCGACAACGTGCGCTCCTTTTATTTCCACAACGATCGATACGACCGAAACCGTCTCCGATACTGCGCCGTAAACTCCGCGGGAAGAAGAGCATTTGATTTGTTACGCGCAACAAAGCGACTCCGAGTCGAAATTTTGGCTCTACGTTAAATCTTTAATTCTATGACACAGTAAGAGCTAAGGTAGCAAGATAAAAGTCAATCTCAATTCTAATCATTTTTATTCCTACATAGAAAGAGAGTGAGAGAGAGAGAGAGAGAGAAAGACCTTGTCTTAAGTTTTTGTTTTCGCTGTTTTAGCGTCAAAATAGGTTGTTCAAGGTAACATTAAAATTAAATCTGTAAAACGCATATTTTAAAACATATATTTAGACATTTATATACCTCTTTCATTTTTGCCGGTTGGTCACCGACAGAGCCTTCGCAATATCTTTCTTTGCAAAGCTATTTACGTTAATGCTCGAGCACGTCGTCGTTACATTTATATTCGCCTCCTCTGACATCCGTCGGGAGGATTGTGAGGAGACTCACGTAGCCGCGTAGACACGAAAAACTCGCCGAGCCTTGGAAAGCGCGAGCGACGCCCGCGGGAGAAATGTCGTTTCTCGTCCACGCGCGATAATATTTTCAGTTTTCGCGGCGAATCACGCGCGCGTCTGGAATGGCAATGGCTGGAGGAGGTTCTCCTCCGAACAAATATCCGCGTATAGCATGGAATCACGTCGCTTTGTGGATCCGTACGGAGAAAATAATTCAGAGGGATGGTAAATTTTGTGCCGTAACAAATAAATAAATATATTTTAAAAGTTGATTTTTGAGGTCATTTCATGACGAAATAAATGTACGCTCGTGTGAACTTTTCTTTATAAAATTACAGCAAAAATCAACTCGCAAAGATTGTACGCGTACTTATAAAACACCCTGTATATTTATTTGCTGGAATAATATTAAAATTTACCGTCCCTCTGGATGATTTTTCCCCGTGCGGGTGAGTAATCCCCGATGAATAAGAGTTATCCTTCGGCGATTGAGATCTCCGCGCTACGAAACTCACGGAGCGACACGCTCCAATGCTCTTGTTCGCGCCATGAATAAACATCGAGGATGCAGCTTGATTTTTCTGCGATTACAGAGCCTCATTATCTTATATTGGAGTACGTCATGTACGGCAAGCTGCTGGCGTACCTGCGCGACCACCGCACCAGGCAGTACTTCTACAACTTCAGCGAGGACTCCGCAGCCTTGACGTCCAGGGATCTCACCGTTTTCGGCTATTGCGTGGCCAGAGGTATGGAGTACCTCGCGTCGAAGAAGGTATGAATTACTCTCACACCGTTTTGTCCCTCTTGACATCGTCGTCCCTATATGGAGAGAATTTTACGGCAAAGGTCACTACGGAATTTTGTGACCGAGAAATATCTTGACATTCTGCTTTGATTTATTCAATTTGTATTATGTATTATTTCAAAAAGAATGCTAGATTCAAATAAATCATTACTCCGATATTCCTTAGCAATATTTACTCGGTCAAAGTAAAATGTTTTTCAAATAAATTATCTGATTAAAATTTACTCAATTCAGACAAAAATTTACCAAAGAATATCGGAATAATTATTTATTTGAATCTAGCATTTTTCCTGTGTGTACTAGTGGAAAATGGTAAAATTGGAAAATTTTATATGTGAAAAAGGAAGCTACAATATTCTCTCTGCGTATATAAACGACTTCAGGTCAATCGGAATTTAAACGTGAAATTACGAAAGAGAAATGGTAAAAATTTTCCTACCATTATCAATTATTATTACTTACATTTGTGTCATTTTTATCGATTGACCTTGAATAATTTTGAGTGGACTCTAATTTCCAGATATTTATTCCTCGCGCACATATTTATGAACGAAACGAAGAAAGCCGCTTCCCACGTGATACGTTCCAAGTAGAATAGTGTCCTTTTTGCCTTACTCTTTTGCCGGCACGTGCGTGACCGCTACGTGCCGTTGAGAAAGAAATTCGATCGAAACACGAGAGAAAAAGTAGTCGCGATAATAAATCTCGACACGGCGCTTTTGGACCCGATGAAATCAAGGCGGACGCGCGACATTAACGGCCTCGGCCGCGTTGACCTCCTCGGCGATGCAAGCGCGTTACGACATGCACTAATTTTACCTTCTCCCGTCGGCTCGTAATTTCGTGTAAATTTAAGACACACATATACCCACACGCACACACACAATCCTAGTTTAATTAAAAATTGCCTCACCTCCATATAATAACTACCCTGACTTGCTCGATGATTTCACGCGGAATCTCGATTTTCTTTTACAATATAATCGGATGAAGTTTCGATGCACAATGAGAAATTAACTTGCGCGATGCACGTTGTGGATCGTTTAATCTTTTTAATTTTTTAATAACGGAAATTCACGTTTTTTTGTTTCCGTAATAATTTATACAGACATATATTATGATTCTGTATTATAAACTTAATATTTATTGCAATTGTTTTAACACGTATAAATAAATACCTACTTATACGAAAAAAATATCATATTATACATAGTTAATTATATTTCTTCTTCTGGTAAATACTTGCCAATGAGTATTGGAGTAACCACTTTATTTGGATCAAGTCAATATTATTTGAACGGTTACGCTTTTTCTCAGTGAAAATACGAACGTACGAATATCCCGCGATTCTTCTCTTTTCCTCTATCGAATAATCGCATGAGTAATAACGTCGTGGGAGAAGCCGGGCTTTAAGCTGATTTTTACACACTGGCCGTTCCGGTGACGTTAGAAAAACAAAATCTCATGTTGCCAGCATACGTCGACGCATATCCTAGCAGTCCTTGATGACGTTACGTTATCTCCCGGCGACGCGAGATCGCCGCCGGTCTGTGTAATACCGCGTCAATTAACGAACCCTCATTACGCAGAACGCTTATTTATAGACCGAGGCCTCGACGCGGTTAATTACATACGTTCGTTTTCGCGCGAAAGAGGGAAAAAGTCGCTCCCGGTAAACACGCGGTGTGTTACACAAACAACGAAATCCCGCGCGCTGTTACGTCGACCGGTGTCCTGCCAGTCCTCCGTAACGTTACATCGATCGCTTCCACCTCGTGATCGTCGCGATTCCTCGTGTACGCGCGTGACAACGCGCTAATTAATTTCCCTTTATTACGCTTGTTGGCGAATCGAAGGTCCGCGCCGGGTCGCGCGCACTGTAATTAATTGTCGCGCCAACGAAAAAAGTCGAAGCTTCAAGAACGACCGCTTTGCGCCATCCGGCCGTTCCCTCCCCTCCTCCTCCGTCCCGCCGTGATTTCCTCTTTTCCTTTTCGACGACGCGTCGTGCGCCCGCGCGATTCGTTACGACATACCGCCGGGACGGAGCGGCGGAACCGCGAAAGGGTGGAGAGGAGTCGCGATAAATTTCGGGACGACACCTCGACGATCGATACGCGTCTCGGCCGTTTAAAATGTTTAGACGCCGGTTCTGCCGTTAATCCTCACGCGATTAAACCGATCCGCCACGGGCCGAATCGTTTTCGGCTTTTCTTCCCCGCCGAGACGTTCATTTGCTTCGCGATGATACCGCGTGACTTGCTTTTATTTCGATATTATGCATCGATGCATCAATGCACAGTGTCTGAAATATGCAGTATTTTAATATCGGTAATCGATTTCTCTCGTATTATTATGTATAATTGTTAAGTGTGGTGTTACCGAAAAAAAAAAAATACTCGATAAAATATTTCATATCTCGTACTGAGAAGTATCGGGATAAAAAGTAAGATATCTCGGGGAAGTACTCGCTCTTCGATGTTCCCAGCCTAGTATTTTTCTACGCGGAATGAACGGGAATTGGTTTATGTTTAAAAAAATCTATAATTCTGGTTCTGGTTAAAAGAATAAAAAAAGAGGAACGAAGTTTACCTTCGGATCATTGAAGCTGTTTCACCTAGAAAAAGAAAAAGAAGCATCACCACCATAAAACGACTATCGTACCGCGAAGTTTCTGTTAGATAACATTTTCCCTTACCCCCGCAATTCCGAAGGTATTCAAGGTGGTAGCAGATATCGCTTCACGCTGTGTAGGATGTATCGTTAGCGTAGAAAAAGTTAGCCCATAGAATCAGCCGGTACGAAACGCTCCTCGTCGAGACGCGCTCGACGTAGGATCGCGGAGGGTTAATTAATTTCCGGAACGCAGCCCTCGGTCGGGTCAGGTGTGCCGATGCGCCGATCTCTTCGGTGGCAACATTTTGCCGGTCTCGCGCCATCGCCGCCACTTATCGTACGTCTAACGGCCTTTACGACCAATTATCGTTAACTCCGTTCGCATTCGGGAGATACGGCCGGCGATTCGGAATGTGCGTCGGGGGAGAATCGTACTTGCGTGCTCGTTGCGAATGTAAAAATAAACGCGCGCGGTAATGCACACGGTAATGCGCGGCTGTGCCATTCTCTCGCCGCGGTTGGGACGGCCCGACACACGCGCGATTTTAATATCTCTCCTCTTTACGAGCAGACGAGAAGGAAACGATTTCGACGAGGCATTTACGGCTTCGGGGAGGTCGATAAACGTCTTCGGCTTAGCGTTCCTCTACCGCGAAAGAGAATCGGCCGGCTCGATCCGAGAAACCGAAATCCGCTCGTGCGTCTCGCGCGCGCGCGCGAAGAACGGCGGCCGAGAGGAGGTAGATGAAGGATAGATAAAGGGAACCGGCGTAAATTTCTCCACCTACGTGGTCGCGAAGAAAACGAACGGAAAGAGAGCGAGGGAGTCCTTCGAGGACAACTGGCAACTCCGTGGAAGGTCGCGCGCGAAGGATCATCGGCTGCCCGACAAATAACCCGCTAATGACGTTCCGTGTCGTGCGTTTTCGCACGGTCGTAAAACTTCCGCCGTGACGTTCGACCGCCCGTCTCGGAGGAGACTCGCTCTCACCTGGGGATCTGTGTCACTAGGCAAAGATTGACTTTTATTTCTCGCAGGAAACGAACTCGAGGTGACTCGGGTGATTTAGCGCTCCTCCGATTCGCCGAGTAGCGGGACTCGGCGACGTTTTCAGGACGATCGCGGGACTGTTAGTGCCGATAATTTTGGTTTTGATATTGATATGTAGATAGATTAACAGACATTTCGTAATTTCCCAAATTGTGGTGAAATCGGGTTTCCTTCGATCTCTACGTCGGGGGAAACGAAACGGTGGAATCGGCGAGACTTCGCTGGGACGAACGAAATTCGTTCGAGCAAACCGAGTCGAAATTTTAAATTCTACATTAAGTCTTCAAGTGGAGAAAACGGCAGTAATTTTCCTATTTGTTACGCCAAAGGAATACCAATAGAAGACCTTTGAACATTTAAGCCATTGGCCTTCTTTATATTTATCTTTCGTGTCGCGCTAAAGTATCAATTGATTCAACAATTGTATGATAGTTTAGCCAGCAACTGTGTCAACGAACAGTAGTTCATTCGGTGGACGCGATATTTCTTTAAATTACGTTATATTTATTTAACGGGAGTGATCGCCAATTTTGCCGATCCAACTTCTTTTTTCTCTTCAGTATATGCGATCGCTATTAATAGAAATATGAAGCAACAAACACGCGCGCGTTTAACGTATGCGTTTTCATTCACACGTGTATTATTCATGAAGTTACTTGGAAGTACATAAATGTAGTAGCCGATTAACATGCGTCACAACTGTCTAATAAAAAGAGAAGTCAATGCGCCGAACGGGGTGTTTGTCGTGACATAAATACCACAACGCTAACCGGTACTCGTCGAATCCATAAGAATAATCGCGTTAACAGTCGAGCCGAAAGTTGTCCCCGCAACTTCGTCGATTCATCGCATTCGCTGTCGTCGATTCGCACGTTGACTGCCACAATAACACTGGGGAAACTTTGTTTCCCGAACCATTTTAAACGATCAATTCGTTATATTTATATTAATTAATTAATATACTAAGGAATTATACTTGTTATTCAGCTAAATTTCTTGTCCCTTTTGTTCTCTTTAAAATGTTCTCTTTCTTTTTATATTTCTGTATATTCTATTATATTTTTGTAGATTTATTATCTTTCTTGCAGAGAGAGATTTATCGTATTTTGTCAATATTTTCGTAGTATTATACTTTTGCAGACGTTTTTATATCTCCTTTCTTATTTCCCTTTTTTTTTATTGTTTTATGTTTTGTACCAAAGAGACTGACGATTCTCATAAATAAATAAGAATAAATGAATAAAGCTCGCGAAAGACTGTGCGAGTTAATTCATAGTCGGCGAGTGGAACACAAAGAATTGTTTTTGCATGTTGTTTACGAGACAACTCGCATTTGGCGGTCGGTATATTAAAAACAGAATGCTCACCGGAGCGACCTATCTTTTTATCCTTGGCGAATATCCTTTCGTTACCGCGCGGTAGAATCGTCCTCGCGTCCGTTCGCGCGCCGGGCAGGAAGCGGCGGCAAAAATTCGCGCTTCTTCGGGAAACGGGAAGATCCGTGAGGAAGAAGGATGCACCTGACCAACGACTGGTGGCAATTAGGGGAACAAAGAGAGCCGATCGCTCATTATTATTCCCGCTCGATCGTTCCTCCTCCCCTCTCATCCTCCCGACGAACGCCATATTACCAGTTTCCGCCCGTATAATAGCTTCTGGGAAACGGCGAGGCAAAAATGATTTTCCCGAGTTAATAGACAATTACGCGGGACGCGGGGCTAAATGACAGTGCGCGCTCGCGCGCGCGCGCGCGCGCGCGTGTCAGCTGCGGATACGCGTGGATGCGCTCTCTCGGACGCGGGCTTTTCATTCAAGCAGAATGCAGCCGAGCCGACGCACAGTCGACGTGTTTCGTAACCGCGTATTTTGCGTAACGCGCGACGACGCTGAAATGCGTAATAATTAATAATCGCTCACAGTTTTTGTCGTCTCATTTCCGCTCTCCTTCAGACGCGTCCGGAAATTCTATCTTCCCGAGACGAAATTTTGTTCCTACATTAAGTCTATTTTAGTTCTATATGAAGTCTTCTATTGTCCTTTGCTCCTATTGTTCTATTGCTCCCTTTGATGTTATAAATGGCGAAGTTATCGCCGTTTTCTTCAGTTAAAGACTTAATGTAGGACCGAAATGTAAAAGAGCGCCTATTGTGGCTCCTTTAATGCTGCAAAAGGAATTTAATCTACCAGAACCTAAATTTGAATTCTAAATTTGAATTCTATATTAAGTCTTCCAGTGGCGAAAACGGCAATAACTCTCCCATTTGTAGCACTAAAAGGAGCACAATAGAAGATCTCTGAACACTTAATGTAGAACTAAATTAGATTTAAAAGTAAGACTAAAATTCCGACTCGGTAGATCTCAACTCCAATTTTGCGCTCGTTTGATGTTACAAACAGGTACTTATTTCCGCTTCCTCTCCTTGAAGACTTTAATATAGAACTCAAAATTTCGACTCGGGCGGACACACAAGATTAATAACAACACACAGGACGTGAATAACGAAGATTTTGTTATTCTGTTATGTCTTACTTTATTTTGCGGTAGAGGCACGACGCTATTGTTTTCCACCGAGCAACCGAGCGGCCGTTTCTGCCGTTCGTCGAGCAGATGAGACCTGTCGCGATAAAATTTATATTCCCAATTGCTCATTCTTCCCAGAAATCCTCGCGCTTGTCAACGGTGCGATCCGAGTCGACGTTACCGGATTCATCCGTCGGCTCCGACGAGCGTCTGTTTCGTTTAGCTGAAGCAATATTTGTCTTCGCGCGCGCGCTTCGTTTTTTTCCACGACTCTATGTCGCCGCGAGTCCCACGTTCGTCGCGCTCTCGGGGTTCGAAGGCCGGGTTTTTCTCGAAAAAAAAAGAAACAGGCCGTCGACACCGACACTCTCCCTTGTAATTATCCGTATAATTTCCCGACACCGCGCGATAACGGGAACGCGCGCGCGCGTGTCTTGCATCGCTGATCTTGAGCGCTCAAGATAGTCTCAACGTCGCTGACTTGGCTGTGCGCAGATCATTCACCGTGACCTCGCCGCCAGGAACGTCCTCGTGGACCACAATAAGCTGTGCAAGATCGCCGATTTCGGCATGTCGAGGTTCGCCAACGAAGACGGCGAGGTGATCGAGACCAGGCATGGCAGGAACGCTTTGCCTATCCGATGGATGGCCCCCGAGTCCTTGATCTATTCCCTCTTCACGACCAAGACCGACGTCTGGAGCTTCGGGATCCTCATGTGGGAGATCGTCACCTTAGGTAGGTGTTTTGCTCATTAACTCGTCGGCTAACGATATTAATACAGGCAAATATTGACCGATTGGAAAGGAGAGACCGGTTGTTGTCTCGCGGATTATTATGTGAAAATAAAGAGACACGTGCGTCAACCTGTTTAACCGATAGCGTGGAAATATCGCGAAACTGGCGCCAAGAATAATACGGCCCATAATGCCTCGTTAATTATCGACGATTTGTTGCCTCTTCGTTAAGCGTCACCCGCAGATTCGAAAATATAAATATTCCATTTAAATAGAATAAACGGCGCCGACTATTCTAAAATATACAATCTAACTACTATATACCCGCCACTAGCATTTAGAAGTGAGATAGCAACTCAAAATTGAGGGTACGTTATTTCACGAAAATCTTAAAAAGGCAAAAGTGAGTAATACATTAATGTCCGGCAACTAGTTATGATTTTTCATCTCGTAACTGTCATTTCTGTTGTTCAACCATAGTCATTATCTAACCACTAGGAGAAGTGGACATTATGTTATCGGCTAATCGCAACGTTAGACACAAATTTATTATCTCGTGGCTAGACATCCACGACGGTTAATTCCTACTAGGGATGTTGTTAGACTACTTTCTAAATAAATATATCTTATTTATTCGATATTTTTTCTCTCGTAGAAAACATGGTAAGATGAATGAATTTAATAGAATTTATGGAAAAACTATTAAAACTCGCCACACTTACTTTCTTCCATAAAGAAGGTGTATAACGATCCAAAGAAGTCCGCGAAAAAATTGAGAAAAAACCGATTTCTTCCGAGGCTGTGATTCGAAACTATAATTTATTATATAAATAAATATTTATATGAGAAAAGCTACATAATATTCTGTCTATGGAACCGTACGTTAGAACAATAGAACAGAATCGTTACGTGTACGTACACGTCGCCGTGATTTCTTAATAACTTGTCGCCGGTTCCCTCTTATCGCCGCGTCTCTCCGAAACGAGGCGTGCGCGGCGGCGCAGAGGCCGCGCGAAAAGGGCTCGTTTTGTACCTCGTTAGAGCGCCGTTACCGTCGGGGCGTAATCGATGGGCCGATATACGCGCGACGGCAGCCTCACCGCGGTCCCGGCCGGCCCGGAGCGTCTCCCGACGGCCTATCGTAATGATCGTACCACCTTGCGTTGTTTCAGGTTCAACACCGTACCCGGATATGACGGCGCGGGAAGTCATGCGGAACGTGCACAACGGTTACCGGCTGGAGAGGCCTTCGCACTGCCGAAGCGAGCTCTTCAGGGTGATATCGCGCTGTTGGCACGCCGATCCCGACCGCAGGCCAGAATTCCAGACCCTGCGTAGGGATCTCGCCCAGCTGCTGGAGGATAACATGAATGGACACTACGTGGACCTCGAGAGCTTCGCTTCCGAGTGCACCGATTGAGGCAATCCCGCGGCCCTCGTCGTTGGATCCCCCTCGACCGCATCCCCGCGTCGAGACCGCCGTGGGAAATCGATTCCGCGCGAGAGACGCCGCGCCGGCTCGACGATCCACGGAGAGAGAAGGAAAGAGAGAGAGAGAGAGCGACTCTTACGGCACGGGGAGAATTTACCCGAGCCGAGAAATCACCTGCGCGCGTTCCCGAGAAATCGGGCGATTCCCGGCAGATTCTCGGGGATTCTTTATCCCTTTCGCGTCCGCGCGAACGGTGTCCCTCAGCTCGTCGTCGGGCATTTCGAGAGACGCGTTGGCGATTGTACGCCCTTGAAAATGGAAGCAGAGACGGTAATTGTCGGTTTTAAATGAAGAAAGAACGTCGAATCGTCGTGATCGACGAACACCGGCGATCTTCCGCATGCGAAATCCGTTCGCGAACTCGAACGCGTCCGATGTTTTTTCGCGGGCAGCCGTAAAGCGCCGTGACATTGATTCATTTGTGGTAATGTTCACGAATTCATCGTATGAATTGACTCTCACTATCGATGAACTTCCATGACGAGCTTCCGCGAATACCAATATAAAGAGAAAAAAAGTTATTCATAACTCAAAAAGAGAGAGATTCACGCCCCGAAGAGGTGCGAAGGAAATTTGTGAAGACCGCAAGGTATAATTATTTTCTATTATTTTGTCATTTCATTGTTACATTTTGATCTTCCAATTGTCTCACTATGTAGAACTAACAGTACTCTTCGGCTCTTCGATCATTCGTCTGCTAAGGGGATGCCAGGACTTGGAAACCTTGCCGACGATACTGATAACTTTTTTTTACAAAGTTTACGTCTTATTGTTGCATGGAATTCTGTATAAGTACTTTTACACAGTGAAAGTGCGTGCGAAAATGAATTGGATGGAGCATTGCTCAGTATGTGTAAATATTTTTAAGCGGGTTTTAAACTATCCAAGGAAATGGTTTATAGAAATTAAATGGCCAATAGGAGCCGAAATACGGTTGTTTTAGTACTATATTTCAATATTAATAACAGTAATATTAATAACAGTAATATTAATATTAAAATGTAGTAGTAAAACAATCGTACTTTGGCTCTTATTTGGCCATTTAATTTCTGAAAGATACAAAAAGTTTGTAGAAAAATTCTTATATATCTCAAGTCCGTCGTTAGTTATCATAAAACAGAGTACCACAACGTTCACATCACATTTATATTGCATTTACATTTATATAAAATCTATACGTACAAAAAATACGAAAAGGATAGCGCGATCGTGTCAGTGTAACATTTTGAGGATCGCTTCTACGTTCTGTCGACACTATCAGTTCGTCACTAATCAAGTTCGTCACTGACTTCGGCATCCCCTTAAATCTTTCATCTTATTTATAAGCGAAAAATATCGCGTTGTATCGGCATTGATTTCACGTACTCGCGTACATGCATCGTGGAAGCTTCTCGTTTATTACGAATTATCCTCGAATCCCGACCGGGAAGAATCGGAGAAGAAGGCGGTTTCGCAAAGTTACATAATGGACGATTGTATACCCTCAACAGAGCTCCGTCCGAAATGTTTCTGTCGCTTTTTTTGGTACTTATTTATTATACCGAAGTCCGGTCTCGCTCGCTTCGGCAAATACACGATGAAGAGGAGAATCACGGAGGATGTTACACTTCGAAGACACAACGGGACTCGATTCCGCGTCGAGACGCATCTGTACATATTGTATCCTTCGCGCTATACATACCTGTAGGTGTACGCAAAAAAATTGCAACTATATTCGCTGGAAATCAAACAAAAAAGCGGGTGTGCTCGCACACCCAGACCCCCCCCTCACACACACACACACATACATACACACAAACAAAACACACATGCGCATACACACATACACACACACGCGCATACACATAGATACACTGATATCGCATCGTCATTGTCGTAACACCGTAAAATAATCTTATCATCGCTAATTAACGAATAAATTACTCGTCTCGTTAGGTGTACGTGCATCCATGTTTCCAATCGCGTCCGGCGCGTTTATATTCTTAATCATTCTAGTCTTTCGACGCGTTCCGGGGACGGCGATTGGTATATATCGTACGTAATCGCAAATGCACGCCGTCTTTCTCCATCATCTCCTGCCGCTGCGCCGACCAATGCCGTGAAATCGCTCGAGGAGCTCGCGACAACGGCGATAACACGCGCGTTTAGAGCTCTAGGAGTACGGATTATAAGCCTCCCCACCAGTTGATTATTTTATTAAGTATTTTTTATCTCGCTGCCTTCCGAGGCGACGTCGTTCTCTCGCACCTCCCGGGACGGCGGAAACGTCCGTCGTCGTTGCTCGAGACACGTCTCGTTCTCGACGCGTTGCATGTCGCGTCTCGGGCGTGCGAGAGAAAACGAAAGAAAGAGAGAGAGAAAGAGCTGTTACTTTCGCAGAGGATTTCGGCTGCGACACACTGTATGTAGACTCGATTGTACTAAGAACTTTCGTCAGTAAACGTTGTGAGAAAATTTAATCAAACGGCCATGCTGTCTCGTTAATAAACCAGATCCACGTGTCCCGACGCGCGTAATTACTGTAAGACACGGGGGCGATAATATGTTAAATACGCGCGGAAAACCGCGTGCTAACTATTAACTCCGCCGAGGGCGACGAAAGCGCGATACAAATTGTCGCGCGCACGTGCACATAACAATACCGTATCCCCGGCCGCCTGGCTTCCTTCGTGAAACGTTTAAAATAGATAGCCTCGGAACCGCGAAAAATGCCGACGTGAATTATGGTGAAATGGCCATCGCGTTGCGCACACGCGCATTAATTATCTCAGCGTGGAAACCTCCCCTCCCCCTTCCCCGATCGTTCTCCGCGGCGCGCCGTAATAAAACGTAATCTTGTTCAATGACCCTATCTACTCCTCCGTACCGCCGGAGTAAAATTGCCGTGAGTTGCGTTCGTGCATTTTCACGGCGAGCAGCGAATATCTCGGCCCTCGTCGATCCTTAAGAATCGAAATACCGCTCATAATATCGATAAAATTGTTCCTTCGGTGTAAGATTAAAAAGACATTCATAAGTACTTCCGCAACAATAGAAAAGTTCGAAGGTTGGTTTCTTGCCCTCCCCGAGTCGAAATTTTGACTTTGGCACTCTTAAAGATAGTTCGCGCTTATTTAGGTGACCAGCAGACTAATAAAAATCTGCTTTGACAATACTAACTTACTTTGGATTTTTAATTTTACAAATTTAATTTTCTCATTACATTGAACAACCTATTTCGACTAAAAGGAACGCTAAAAGAAACGCTAAAGAGAAAATTTCAGGCATTATCGGGGCAAAAATAGAAATAGATTATATTGTTAGAATTGAAATTGAATCGAGGAAAGATGTGACAGGCCAATAAGAGCCTTAATCCGTAGTCGTTGTAGCGATGTGAAATTAAAATAAGTATTATTCAAGCGTTATTATATACTGAACATTTATATCAACGACGATTTTAATTTCACATCACCGCAATTAGACTCTTATTACGGACCGTCACATCTTTCCTTGAAATTGAACCTATTTCGCTATTTTGGTTCCTATTACATTGTTAAATTAAAAGTTTAATATAGAGCTGGAATTTCGACTTGGGCCGGATCGTTGAAAGCTGAACGGAACAAAGGAGACTTCTCTTAGGCCGAGGATTTTCTCTCGAGGGCGTCTTGGACCGCTGCCGATGCCGGCGCTGCCCCGGTCGGGCGAGGACGCTTCCTCCTCTTTCAATTAGAAGGCGGGCTTCGCGGGTCTGCCTTCGGTCCCCGTGATTTATGAAATCACATCCGCGAGACGCAGACGCGGCCGCAGATTTACGGCAACGGGAATATGGATTTATGCGCGCGAACGCGCCGGACGAGATAAAGGCGCGGTATGCAAATACGTCCGGCGCGTTTTGTCAAAGTCCGCGGGCGAAAAGGAGGCGGACAGCGCGAGGGGAGATTTACAGGTGCCACCGGCCGCACTCTCGGGAGAAGAGCCAAGGCCGAAAGAATCGGATTCCGGCGTGCCGGGACGAATATCGATCTGGCCGTTGCTGCATCGCGACGCGAGGGCGCGAACGAGACGGCTCAATGGAATTAATTAAGACCTTCCATCGCTGTGGCGATTCAATTACGGGCCTGCAACGGCGCGACGTGCCGCGCCGTTGTGCCGACGATGAAACGACGCCACGGGTAAAACGGTGATGAATGTCTTCCTCGAAGGTGCGCGGGAACGCACGATTCTTAGGAAAGGAAAATTACAGACCGGGAAATAACGATAACTTAATTAAAAATATCGTAAATTTTCTTAAGAACAATATTTAAGAACAACAAAATCTTTATTCTACTTTATTGTTTCATTTTACTCTATTTTGTTTATTATTATAAGTTATATTTATAAAATAATAAATTAACAAATATAAAATAAATATAATAATAAACAGTGATATTAATTATATTTATAGTTTATCTTCTCAGTTATTATAAATTGTATCAAATCTTTTCGTTCAATTAGATAAGCAAATAAATGACATTAGTTTTATTCAAATCAATTTGATTTGACACGATCGCTAGATAAAATATTTGCTATTTGGGGAGCTTCCAGAGCATTTTTGATTCTCATAATTATTTGAACATTGGATTTTCCAATTAAATTACGTAACCGCGATTTCTACAAAGTGTACAGGCCGCGAGCGTAACGATGTAATGACGCCGACCTTCCGCGTTCGGATTCGTCTCGGGTTTGAAAATATTATTTTGCCATATCAGTACTCATAGAACATCGGCGGCTCCCGTCTCGCTTATTTCGCGGTTGTTATGTTCGGTATCTCGCAAATACGCAACGAGAGAGTGCCGTGTGCGAGCGCGTGTGTACGTGTGTGTCCGTTGCCGCGGATCGTGATCGTAAATTGGATCGCGTTCTTGAAATCTCGAAATAACCGTAAAACGTCCCGGCTCTCGTTTATGGCTCTCGAGCGGACCTTCTGGTTAGCTCGCGATGAAGGCACGAGACGGAGGGACGCTGGACGCGGCCGATTATCTCGCGGACACGCGACCGAGACGTCGAGATCCGGGCAAATCGCCGATTCCCCGAAAGGTACGTATGCTTCTCACGTGCTTTGCTCCCCTTCGATAGCGGCATTTGAGCAGTAAAAGACATTAGAGCGTGCGAAGCACCTGCGAAATGGCAAATGAGAAGAAAGGAAACAGGAGACAAATAAAATATCAAGGTTCTCAGGTGTACGATCAGCTGGGGAACGAAAAAGGGGGATGAGAGGTGCAAATTCCAACGCCAGGTGCAAATTGCGAAATTAGTTTAGTCTATAAATGAGATAAGAAATGGGCCTAACGGACTCCTCTGCCCGAGTCGAAATTTCGATGTTACTTTGACGCTCCTAAAGATAGTTTCTGCTTATTTAAATGGCCGGCGGAAAAAATGTACTTCGAAGATACTGGCATTTGTTAACTTCTCTGTTGAATCTTTATTTCACAGAGAAAAATATTCCTTTGGATTTGATTACTTCAATTGAAACGAATTTGTCTTTGGAATGGAGGAAACAAACGAATATTCGATTCAACAAACAGAATAGTTTAGTTTCTCAAACAATAAATATCTTACATACGTTTTTTAACATGAAGGATGAGCGGCAAAACTGCTACTGCAAAATTTGGAAACGAAATATTTAAAGAATTGAAAGAATTGAAAGTTTATACACGGAGGGACCGTGCATAACGAGTTGACGAGGAAAGAGTGACGGAAAAGTTCATTTCCGAATTCCTGCAGATGTTCAATTTCGTATAAATCCATCTGTGATATCCATATAGTGGATATCTTCACTGAAGCAACAACTGTATTGATCTCTTCCTTAGCACCATGGTTCTTGCAACTTTCGTCTATGCATAAGCGAAAAGTAATATTAATATTTCGCTGCGGCAACCATATTTATTTAAACGATATCGGCCATGTTTTCTCCGTGCAGAACCAAAATTTCGACTTGGTCA